AAATTAAATTAAATTTTTAAAAAAAGTTTTAAAAAACAGACAATTCAGGGCTGGAGAGATGGCTCAGCAGCTAAGAGCACGGGCTACTCTTACAGAGGACCCAGGTTCAATACCCAGCACCCACATGGTGGCCAACAACCATCTATAACCCCAGTTTCAAGGAATCTGGCACCCTCTTCTGGCCTCTGTGGGCACTTCATGTATGTGGTATACTTATACACATGCAGACAAAATATTCATACACATAAAATAAAAATAAGTCTTTAAAATAATCTTTGGTTAGAGAAACTCCTCTTCTGCCAAGCCTGCCATGCCTAAGGGAGGTTGAAGGGTACCTGCTGCAGACATGTGCAATCCTCCTCCCGATGGACCTAGTGGCTTCCACTACAATGCTATCAGCATGCAGAGGGGAACCAGTTACAGCACAAAATGTCCCTCATTCTACCAGACTTACTTGATCCCCAGAGCGAATCCTTGTATAACTTCTCCAGCATTGGGGCCAAGGAAGTGCAGGCCCAGCACCAACTGTGGGGGCTCCCTCAAGCACACCATCTGAAAGCACAGTGTTTTAACCATCTCACAGACACAGGGGACCCACCCACTCACAGCAGACCAGCTACATATCATCTCTGCAACCCTCAGAGGTTTCCATTTGTAGTGATTAATACTGTCAACTTGACAGGCCCTAGACTCACCTAGGAGACAGCCTCTAGGCATGTCTGTAAGGGAGTGGTCACACTGGGTTAAATGAAGTGAAAAGACCCACTCTAACTATGGGAAGCACCCAGGCTTGGGTCCAGGCTACACAAAAAGGAGAAAACAACTAAGCAACAGCATTCATCTCTCTCTGTTTCCTGATTGTGGACATAGCATAACCAGACACTTCAAGCTCCTGCGGTCTTCTTTGTCATTATGGACTGTCCCCTCAAACTGTGAGCCAGAACAAACCCTTCCTTCCTTAAACTGCCTTTGCAGGTAAGGTACTTTGTCACAGCAAAAAGAGAAGTAACTAATACACTGCTGTTCTACACTGTGGACATCAGAGCACTCCCCCACAATCACTGGCTCTTTCCCTCCTTTTCTCTCAGCCCCAGTGTATCCCAGCCCTGGACCCCTAAGGGCACTCACCTTTATGTAGCACTGGGATGCATCCCGTTCAGCCACTGTGAACTCCAGTGGCTTATAATATGCATGGTAAACCTGGGTGACAAGATGCCAGCACATGAATCAGTAGTGAGCATGCCCAAGCCAGTCCTATAGTCATGGTTCCAAAAGAAAGGGTACAGGGAAGGGAGGATTCTTAGGGACTCAGAGCACCCATGTAACCCAAGGATATAGTCTGGGATGTGGAAACAGTTCAGCTGGTTGCAGAGAGTGTGCCCCTCTCTCATGTATAAGCTTTTATCCACAGCCATGTAGTCTTCAGTTAGATGCCTGCTGAACTACAACCTCAGGCTGCTGAGGTGCTGTTGGCCAGGATACAACACAGAGCCAGTGGCTTGGCACATGGCACTAGGGCACCCCCAAGAAGCAGAGTTGGGTGGACACAGGCCTCCCCACAACCCCTTCAGACTGGACCAGGAGATTCAGGCAATGGCTTGTGGGGGTAGGGGACCCGTTCTACCCATGCAAGCAGGAATGGGGTCTCAGGCAGTAGCCTGGCCTCCCTGAAACACCCCAGTGCTGGCTTGGCAGCTAGAAGGAGGGGGCCAGTGCAGGGTAGCTGAGGGGCAGGGCAGACCATAGCCACACTGGAGCTGTGGGACAAGGGCTTTCAGCACCCATGAAGGGCTTGACGTGTGTTCGGGGCTGCAGCCATATAAAAAATGAGCAGGGCCCCCACATGTGCTACACAGCCATTATTAATTAATAGAGCTTCAGAGAATATTGTTCTAAGCAAGACAGAACTGAAAAGAAAACAAACAAGAATATTTGGCTATTCAACATTGTGAAACATAAAACAACATTATAAAATGCCATGAACATATGTCTCAGTATACTTATGATGAATCAAACAAAAATAGCAAATAAAGTGCCGGGAAGGCAGGCCTGTCAGCCTGTCGCTGTGATGGAGGGGCCCGGGTGTGCAGAGCAGGAAGACCCTACAGCCTGGTGACCCAGGCCACATGGGTCTGGTTTCTCTACCGCCAGCAAGCTGCTGCTTCAGGAAGAAGAAACACCAAAGTCCTCCAGCTTCCACCAAAGCAGCTTTCAAAGTCTCTGGCTTCCTTCAAACTACCTGGGCCCACTCTGTGGGTACCTCAGGGCTACGGCCAGCCTGCCACAGCAGACCCCAAAAAGCAGCCTGGCCTGACGGAAACCTCTTTACTTGGGGTGAAAGCCCCAGACTGGGCCACTAAGCCTTTAGGGACTAAATCTTGGGGAAAGGTTAGAATTTGGGCTGGGAAGGTTGAGAGTCCTGCTCACTGGATGCCTTAGGGGAGTCCCAGGAAGACAGAGATAGGAGGGCAGCCTGGGTAGGAGGGTAGGGTAGAGTGGACAAGTCAGAGGACATACTGGAGGAGCCATTCATGTTCAGGGAGACTCATGTCCCTGAAAAGTAGGGAAAGTCCCACAGAGTGGCATGAGGCCCTGAGGCCTTCTGTTATAAGCTCTTTTGCATGCTGGAATGGGACTGGCACCAGACACCCTGATACTCTGGTGGTACTAAGCTAGAGACCTCAATGGTCCTCTAGTTTCTACAGCATAGCTAGGGATGGGGCTGGAGGCTGTTAGACCCCAGGACTCAGAAAAAAGCCAGAGGCCATGCTTTAGTGACTCAATCCAGAGCAGCAGGGGACCTCTGAGCAGAACCAGAGAAGCGAAGGCTGGCCACATGGTGAAGCTGCCAGGGGTGTCCCACTTCCCTTGTTTCTGGAGCTGCCCTCCAATGTTCCTGTTCTGTATATCCATTTTAGCAGCTCCTTGGCCATTGTTCTTGGCCCCGATACCATGCCCTGCCAAGAGAAGCTCCCAGGAAACAGGGATACCCACACCCCTATTTACAGGACCTCTTATCCAGGAAGGGACTCTTTATGGGGAGTGGCCTCCCAGGCCCCACTGTTGGCAGCCCCCTACCTCAACATGCTCTTGGCCATGGACAGTCACAGCCTCCTCCTCTGACAGCCCTACACAGCCATACTCCAGTGGTGTGAAGACGGTCGTGGGAACCTGGAAAGCAGGTCTGGAATCAAGTATGCCTTTTGGGCCCCTCAAATTGAAAATGTCTCCTGTGCGACACTTTAGTGGTAATCCCAGTCCAGGGCCCCAGCCATACATGAGTATGTCACTCATTGTTCTTGGGCTAGACTCAGCAGCCAAACCATATACACTACTGTGTCCCTGCTCATACATGTGCATGCAAAGAACATTCACATTCACACACCCACATGCATGCACATACACATCTGTGCACATGCAAATGTGTGCAAATGTATCCCTCACCCAGAAGAACCAGCCAAGCCTTTCCTAAAGCTGGATTTGGGTTCTTTAAAGAACTCACATTGTGGAGGCTGAAGAGATGGCTCTGTGTTTAAGAGCACTGGCTGCTCTTGCAGAGGACCTGGGTTCAATTCCCAGCACCCACATGGTGGCTAACAACCATCTATAACTCCAGTTTTAGGGGATCCGACACCCTCTACTGACCTCTGTGGGCACTGCGTGACATGGGTACACTTACATACATGCAAGCAATACATGCATATGCACAAAAATAAAAATAATAAAGTATATTAAAAAACTTTATTAAAAAAAAAGAACTCACATTGCTGTAATCCATTAGGGCTGAGGATTTCCCATAGAGCCGCTGGGCCAGGAGCTTCCCTGCCATGATCGCTGTGGGTGTCAGCTCTGGCCGCCCCTGAGAGAAGAACATATGAGCACTATATGCCAGGGAGCCTATGCAGACCCCACACCACCACCCATCGCCTTCCTAACAAGTAGCTCCACGTTGAAAACTCCCAATGCTGTGCCATGAGCCACAAGACATATGGACACTGCCACAAGCTGCAAAGATCTGAAAGCCTTAGGCACTGAGGCTGAGTCTCCCATAGTGACCATCCCAGGGTATCTTCCCCCTACCCTGCTTTGGGGACACATCTGTGTTATGATCCCCTTCCCTGGAAGAGAAAATGAACTACTGAGCCCAGTCCCACTACCCTCACTTGTTCGGGGTTTCTCTGAATCCCTGTCACACTGATCATCTGAGTGCTGGTCCCATGACGAAACTTGAAAAAAGATTCTGCCCACTGTTCCCACTGACCAGAAGCCACCTTCATATGGCCCCAAGCATGCCACAGGCTCCTGACACACTGCTTGACATGTATGTTACAGTCCATGTCAAATCCCAAATCAGTGCCATTCTGCAGGAGACCGCTCTGTCCCAGGGTATCCCTGCATCTGGTGTTCCTGCACACAGCAGCCTGAGCCCCAATGCCAATCAACTCTGCAGCAGGAAATGCAGACACTGTTTGGCATTCCAGAAATGAATAGAGATCTGCAGAGATAAACTCGGCCTCAAGCCTGTGCATTCCACCAGACCTGAGTAACCCAGGAAACATCCCACAGCATACCATATCTCATTAAACAATGGCCCCCTACACCATCCTGGGGCTCTTTGCAGCACTGGCCTGACCTCGCTGCAGGGATGTTAACTCTTTGCACTGCTCACAATGATCTTTTAAGCTACATGTATTGAATTCTTTTTTAAAAAATATTTTATTTTTAATTTATGTTCACACGTGTATTGCCTGCATGTAGGTAAGTGTACCCGTGTCTTGTAGTGCCCACGGAAGACAGAAGAGGTTGTCGGATCCCCTGGAACTGGAGTTACGGACAGTTGTTAGCTGCCATGTGGGTGCTGGGATTTGAACCCGGGTCTTCTGCAAGAACAACCAGTGCTCTTAACTGGCTGAGCCATCTCTCCAGCCCCCTGAATTCTTTTCTAAAAAATACTTTATTATTTTAACTGTATGTGTATGAATGTATTGCCTGCATGTATGTAAGTATACCTGTGTCATGTAATGCCCATGAAGGCCAGAAAAGGGCATCAGATTCCTCTGGAACTGGAGTTGTGAACAGTTGTTAGCCACCATGTGGCTGCTGGGAATCAAACCTGAGTCCTCTGCAAGAGCAGCCAGTGTTCTTAATTGCTACTGCTGAACCATCTCTCCAGCCCCAATTTTTTTATATATATGTAGGGTCTCTCTGTAGTCACAGCTGGCCTGGAACTCGCTATGTAGTACCAGGCTGGCCTCACAGAGATCCTCCTGCCTCTGCCTCCTAAGTGCTGGGATTAAAGGCATTTGCCATTATGCCCAGGTATGCATTGAATTCTGGGTTTTTTTTTTGTTTGTTTTTTTGTTTTTGGTCTTTTTGAGACAGGGTCTCCCTATGGCCCCAGCTGTCCTGGAACTCACTATGCAGGCTGGCCTTGAACTCACAGATATCTGCCTGCCTCTGCCTCCCAAGTGCTGGGAATAAAGGCATGTGCCACCATGCCTGGCTGTGTTGAATTCTTAAAATAAAAAAGGCCTTTATGTGTTTCATGTAATTGTGGCAACATGGTACTGGACCCTAGGGTCTGGTAGCAATGCATTGGTACAGTTAAAGGAACTTCACTTATTGGGTGCAAAGGTTTCCTGGTGTGCACAGAGATGCATACAATACTTTTCTGAAAGAACACATGTACTATCTTTAAAAAAAATTATTTATTTTTATTTTATGTGTGAGAGTGTTTTACCCGCATGTTTGTAAGTGCACCATGTGCGTGAAATGCCCATGGAGGCCAGAACATGGCGTTGGATCCCCTGAAACTGTTTTTACCCATGGTTGCTAGCCTCCATGTGGGTGCTGGAAAACAAACTCAGTCATTGCTTCTTACCACTGAGATATCTCTCCAGTCCCTACATGTGCTGTCTTAGGGTACAGTGCCCACAAGATGGAATGGAAGCCTATAGTCAGGACTACCACATCCAAACCAACCACAGGCAGAGGTCAAACAACCACACAGACCTGCTTGGGCCTTGTTTAGATGGTGACATGAGGGCTGGAAAGATGGCTCAGTGGTTAAGACTACTGGCTGCTCTAGCAGAGGACCTGGGTTCAATTCTTAGCACCCACATGGTGACTAACAACCATCTATAACTCAAGTTCCAGAGGATCCAATGCCTCTTCTGACCTCCTCAGGCATTGTACAACACGGGTACACTTACATACATGCAGGCAATACACTTATACACATTACATAAAAATAATAAAATATTTAATTAGATGGTTACGTGACTCAGATGGGCGAGGGGCCAGACAGCAAGCCACATCAAGTTTTCCTTGCAGTCCTCTGGGTGGGGAGCTTTGGAGTTGCCATCTGACAGTCCCTGGAAGCAGTGGGTGCCTGGCACCCTCTAGGATGCCATCACATGTTCCTGAGCTTCTTAGGTCACAGGGCCTGATAGTGCCTGAGCAGTAGACACTTGGCTCTGAGCCCTTTTCACAATGGTAGGGACACTTCTGGTACACTGCAGGAGCCCTGCTGGCCCAGCAGGAGGGATCTGTGTGGGACCTGAACCTGGCAGGAATGACAAGCCAAGTGGGAGTGGCCTTTGGAACGAAGGAGAAATGCAGTCTTGCCCAGTCCTCTTCCGGTCCTGTTTCCAGGTAAGCATCAAGTTCTTCCCAGCCTAGCATGATCTTTACAAAGCCTAATAGGAGATGCCTATTTATACACACACACACACACACACACACACACACACACACACACGGGGGGGGGGCAAGCCTTGGCATTGCTAACAGCTACCTAGGCCCTTTAGCTCCAAAATGTCCCACCCAGGACCAACTGGTCTCATATACTAGGTCATGCTCCCCCCAAGCATTGCTCTACATTTCCCAAATGTAGGGTCCAAAGGGAGCCAAGTCAACACAGCATCTGCACATTCCTGAAGGCATGGGTGCCCTCACCCAGGCTGCTTTGCTCTAGCCCAGATATGGACACCAGCTGGACCCCTCAGGTAACCACCTGTAAGCTTTCCTTACCACTGGCAAATGAGCATCCCCTAACACCTGAAGTGGTTTACTGGCTTATGTCAACTGTGACTCCTACCATGATGCTCCTCCACAGGGGGCGTGTACCTGTAGTGTCCCCAGTGTTCCAAAAAGAACCTGCTAACCAGTGGTGCTCAGCACTCATGAGTACATGGGTAGCAACACATTGGGGTGGGCTGAGTAGTATCTCCAATCAAAGTCATGCTCACCTAGAACTTAGAATGTGAGTTTATTTGGAAGCAGTTTGTGCATGAAGGTCATACTGGATTTATATGGGCTTTAAGTCTACAAGGGGCAATCTGTAAGGAAGGGCACAAAACACCCAGAGGAGACCTTCAGTAATGAAGGGACAGAGCTGGGATCTGAGGACCACCCAGGGCCAGGATGGAGGAGGCAGGAAGAGGCCTCCTAGAGAATGCTGAGGGAATGCAGCCCTGCCCACACTCAGATTTGGTTTCAGACCCCTGAACGTAAGAGGGGGGATTTCTGTTGCTCTTAAGTCGCTGAATTTGTGGTGGCATAAACCACTTATACAGCAGCTCCAGGACACAGACACAATCATGAAGGATGTGACAGGTCTCGCCACAGAGCAAAGTGGGCCTGGGGACTCCAGGAGTATCTCTCAGAATGTCTAGGTGAGGCCCCTGGAGCAGCTTCCTTGTGATACATAAGAATGGCTTAGTATAAGCTGCTTCTCCTGAGACTGTAGGGACACAGTGCCCCAGAACTGACCAACCAGGTCTTTTTCTAGGAGCCTATGAAGGAGAGGGATGGTGGCTAGATGCTTCGAAAGCCAGGGCCTCACCAGGAAAGTACTGTGGCCTCTGCTCTCCAGGGATGGGACAGAGGCAGGGATATGTCCATAGCAACAGGAACAGTGAGTAGGGCCAGGGTCCAGAGCCTTGTCACCTTCCCCAGGGTGAGCTCCTCACCCCAGAAAGATTGGTGACAGCCCAGTCGGTGACAAGAACTGAAGCTGCCTCTGGCTCAGAGGGAAAACAAAGATAAGGAGAATGGCTAGTGGGCCTGAACCAGGCCTGGCCCTCAACTTCTATAGAGACAGGACCAATTCAAGGTCATGTCCAACAACAGCTAATTCTTCATATTACCAATTTTTAAGCTGTCCCACACCAACCCTCATAGAAAGGCAAAGCATTGGAAAGAGGGGCTGGTAATCAAACCCTCCCATAATGCACCTGACCAATCTTTGGGGTTTGGCCCTGTGATTGGCGCTCTGGAATTGAGGAAAGACACATCTCTTTCCCATGTCCTAGCAGACTCTAGCTCATGTTCATCTCAAAGTCCAACAACAGAAGGTGGATAGGAGCAAAGAACTATGGGGTTCCAGGCTCTGGGACTGGCCAGACAAATACAGGGTATACCTCAGCAACATCCCCAATGGCAAAGATGTGGGGGACAGAGGTGGCCTCCTGAGCATCCACAAGAATCTTTTGATTCTTGGGGTTGGTATTCACTCCAGCCTTTTCCAGATTCAGATTTCTCGTTTCTGGAACTCGCCCTTAAAGAGAGAGAGATAGTTGAAAGATTTACTTTAGTAGTTTTGATATGGGTTCCTTTTATGTAAAACATTTCAACCAGATATGGTGGTACACACATGAAATCTCAGCACTTGGAAGACTGAGGCAGGAATATAATAAGATCAAGGCCACCCTGGTCTACAAATCAAGGACTGCAAATAGCTCATTGGAAGACCAAGAATACACAAGGCCCTCCAGTTTGATCCTTTTTACAATAAATAGATCAATGAATCAATAATCAACAAACTTTTCTCAAAGCAGGGTTCTGTGGCTGGACTGTAGCCCCACCTATTTGAGAGTCTGAGAAGGATGATTGAGTATAGGAGTTCAAGGCCACCCTAAGCAAAACAGCAGGACTCTATTTCAAAAAGACAAATAAATAAGTAAATAAATAAATAATAATAAACAATAAACAAACAAATAAAATGGCCACTGATGAATGGTAAGCACAGAAACTACTAAGTGGCCTGATTGCAGAGGAGGGGCAGAGTAACAGCCCATCAGTAAGTGAACAGAAACTTTCTCTGGCCCAGAGGGGGAATGTTTATCAATGTTCCTGTGGACCTTGTAGGTCAAACAAAGCCCTGTACCACCCACCATACAGAAGTGTCTAAGGGATGCAACCCACTGAGGATGGTGTCCTTCTCAGGTGCTGTTTTCTGGTACATGGGCAAGAAGCAAGTGCCTGCTGATGCCATTGTAGCTTGCATCAGTTTTGGTAATCAGGTTCCAGAACCTTCCATTCCCCCCCGCTCCAGAACCAGTACCAACAGCATGGCTCTAACTTGATAATCAAGAGAAACCAGCCCTCCCTTTGAGATGCAGTGGTACTGTGGGCATCTATCTGTCCTCGCTGTATTATCCCCCACACCAAGCCAGACTTGCCTTATTCCATGAAATAAGAACCATGTTCCCCTCCTGTGCTTCTTCCAAAGGATACCCAATGGCTCATTGGACAGGCTGAGGTTTAGTCGGCCTTCCAAGCTGTGTCCCCAGCCCATGCTCAGGACTTAGGGACAGTTTCCCTTTCCAGGTGGGGCCTGTAGTTCTCTTTACACAGAGGCTGCATGCAGGGTTTCACAGGTCCTTGTGGGAGGGCCTACAGTGGCCGCCAACACCTCCTGGGCCCCAACCAACCCTAGTCACATGACCCTCCTCTTTGTCTACTTTCATAGGCCTACCTGCCAATGATGACACCCACTCTTTCATTCCTTTGTGTTTTGATCTTGTTCTATTTTTCAGTCTTGGGATGGAACCTCACACATTCTAGGCAAGCTTGCTACCACTAAGCTATCTCTGCCAGTCCCTCTTCCTTTGGATTTAATGAGATGAGGTTGTATATTATTTTGTTTCTAGCAATGCAGAGGAGAGCTGCTCCCACAGCTGAGGGTGAGTCCACTTGGGCCTTAGAGGTGACCCTTATGAGACACAGACCCTTATGAACTAAGATGTTGCAAAGGCCACCAGCTGGGGTAGGCTGGTGAACTTAGGGATTAGCCTGGGTACCAGTCCCTTTCCTGGCCACAGTCTCTGCCCTCCTCAGTGCCAGGTCCTGGCCATCTTGACCCTTTCCTCTCCCTGCCAGGATTTCTCAGGCTATGTGTAGGACATGGACAGTATTCCCTGGCCTACCGCTTCAGTGCTGTGGAGCTAGATTAGAGGGTTCTTCCCTGGGAAATGGCTGCCTGGGTTGCCAGTGTCTTTGTGCAGAAGAGACCCTACAAATCCATCTTTTTTTCTGTGAGCCTCAGTGTTCTCATCTATAAAAGGGATCAACATGGGACCCAGATAGGACAAGGCACAGGTCTCACAAGGACCCACCACTACCCTGTCTCAATGGTCACAAGGCCTCTGAAGGCCATGTGCCTGAATTTCAGCACAAAGAGCTCTTATGCTGATATGAGTAAGAGGGACTCCTGAGGCTGACTGTGGGGCCTCAGGATGGAGCAGGGCACATAAGCAGCCAGTGCAGAAGGTGTGTGTCCTCCTTGTCAAGGTATATGCACACCCATACATAAGTACACATACACATATATATACTTATTTGCAAAAGAAATCAATGAGGGGTTGGAGAGATGACCCAGAGGTTAAAAAGCACTGGCTGCTCTTTGCAGAGGTCCCAGGTTCAGTTCTCAGCATCCACATGGTGGCTAACAACTGTCTATAACTCCAGCTCCAAGGGATCTGACACCCTCTTCTGGCTTCCGCAGGCATTGCATGCACAAGTGCACTTATCTATGCAGGCAAAACACACATAAAATAAAAATAAATTAAAATTTTTAATTAAAAGCTGGGCATGGTGGCACATGCCTTTAATCCCAGCACTTGGGAGGCAGGGGCAGGCAGATCTCTGGGAGTTCAAGGCCAGCCTGTTCTACATTGTGAGTAGGCCAGCTGGGGCTACAGGGAGACCCTGTCTCAAAAAGACAAAAAAAAAAAAAAAGAGAACTCAATGAAAAGATTAAAAGCAGTGGCCTGTAGAAAGGGGCGAAGTCAGGTGTGGTGGTACAGACCCACAATCACAGCACTCAAGAAGCTGAGACAGGAGGATCACTGCAAGTTCAAGGTCAGCGAAGCCTGGGCCACAGAATAGATTCCAGGCAGGACAGGGCTACACTGCAAGACCCTGTCTCAAGAAAAGCAAAGCAAACAAAAGAAAAGGGAGAGGAAGATAGAAGGACAGAAGTGCAAATAAGATTTGTCTAAACACATCTTTTCACACTCTTTTTCAATGCCTATACATGGTTTATATGTTCAAAAAAGACATTAACACAGGAAAAAAATGTCTAAAAACCACAAGCAAACTAAAACAAATGAACCTAACTGAACCAATTGCACAAGAGGCTGTGAGAGAGCAGATGACAGGATCATTACAGTCCTCCCCTCAGGAGATGGTTCCGGGACCCCCATCCCCCAACGATATCAAAGTCCGGATGCTCAGTGTTGTTCAGAACACGGCATACAGCCTATGCCCTGCCATCCACTGTGCATTTCCCATGTCTCTAGATGACTTGTGATACCTAATACAATGTCAGTGCTAGGTAAGTTGCCATATGCTGTCACTCAGGGAATGACAAGAAAGCATGGTAGGTATATGTGTATGCACTTCAGAGCAAGTAAAATATACTTTGGACTGGGAATTTTTCTCAGTTGGTAGAATGCTTGCCTAGCATGCACATAGTTCTGAGTTCAGTCCTAGTACCACATAACCCTGGTGTTTACACATACCTATAATCCCAAACGTGACAGGTGGAGGCAGGAAAATCAGAAGTTCAAGGTTACACTTAGCTATACAGTATGTCTGAGGCCAGTCTGGGCTATGTGAGATCCTGCCTCAAAAAACAAAAACACCTCAGTGGCAAAGCACCTGCCTTACATGCACAAGGCCTGAGGTTGTGCTGCCAACACTAGAGAGAAAACAAAAATATTTCTACTCACAGTGAATCCACAACTGTGGAATCCTTGGGAATACAGGCCAGTAGTTGTCAAGAGACTGGAGAAGCTCATGTATTCAAGGTGGGGATTCTATACTAACATGGAAGCTACAAAGAGATCTATATGCCATTCAAAGAGGATGGTTAAAATCTTATAATTATCAAATTTATAATTAAAATTAATAGTTTCTTCTCTTTTCTAAAATAGGGAGTTCTGGGGTTAGAGAGATAGCTCGGTGGTCAAGAACATTGGCTGCTCTTGCAAGGTGCCCAGGTTCAATTCCCAGCACCCACATGGTGGCTAACAACCATTTGTAACTCCAGTTCCAGGGGATCCAATGCCTCTTCTGACCTCCAAGGGTAGTGCATGATACAGGTGCACTTACATAACATACAAGCAATACACTCATACACATAAAATGAAAAGAATAAATAAAATATTTTTAAAAATAAAATATGAAGCCAGGCGTGGTAGCGCACACTTGTAGTCCCAACACTTGGGAGGCAGAGGCAGGTGGATTTCTGTGAGTTCAAGGCCAGCCTGGTCTACATAGTGAGTTCCAGACCAGCTGGGGGTACAGGGAGATCCTGTTTCAAAAAGACCAAAAATAAATAAATAGATAAATAAATAAATAAAATAAAATAAAATACGAAGTTCTGGGCTCTGACCACAGAAAGGATCTTTCAGCAAAAACAGCCACTGAGTATTTCAAGCCTTTTTAGACTGGGGTCTCAATGCTTCCTACCCAGGGGATCAGGCTCCTCAAGCTGAAAGGACACAATTGTATATAATCAAAGACAGTCAAACAGATTGGGCTGCGCATTATAGCAAGACAGCCTGCCTCAAAGGGAAGATACCACTGGTCAGGGTGCCCAAAGGGAAGTGGCTGAATTGTGTAAATTGTGACCTGTGGGATGTCTTGGTACATGTAGGCTCCAGGTGAGCTAACTGCCCAACATTTCCCTACATGATCCTTTCCTGTGTTGGCAACCTTCCACTCCCCCAAAGTCCCAGGGCTTCTGGGAAGCACTTACCCCCTCCTGCCCAGACAGGCTCCTCACATCACTGTGAGTTCACATTTTCTCCCACCAACAGACTATCTGCATCAACAGATTAGGCCCCATGTCTCCAGAATTCACCAAGACAGCCTGTAGTGAGTGCTGTGTAAGAAGCATGCCGACTGAAGCCAGTGGCTAGAGCATGCACTGCCCAGAGCCTCAGAGTAGGCCTGAGACCCCCTCATCAGGCAACCAGTGATGGTGCTGAATAAGCAGGGCTGGTGGCTGGGTCTCCAGGTCACAGGCCCCAGCTTGCCCTCTTCTGTACAACCCCTGCAACTGCCCAGCAAACTACCCAGCTTTGGTTCTTGGCGGTGAGAAGAGCTGGGTGTGGAGAGTGTGTGAACCATACCATGCCCATCCTCAGCTTCAGCTGGAGCTGATCCTGCTTTTGGATGCAGAGCCTGGGATGGAACAGGAACAGGTCTCTCTCTCTCTCATAATATCATGGTGACTGTCCCCTCAGGCGCCACACAGTTCTGGGCCTT